TGGTGGGGGGGGGGGGGGGATCACACTACTAATACATCTTAATTGTAGTAACGTTGTACAGTTTCCATGACTGAATTTATTGGGAATAAAATCCCAAACCAATATACAGTTCCATGCAAAAGTTTGGGAACCCCTTGCAGAATCTGTGAAAATGTGAATAATTTTAACAAAATAAGGGAGATCATATAAAATGCATTTTATTTTTTATTTAGTACTGGCCTGAGTAAGATATTTTACATAAAGGATGTTTACATATAGTCCACAAAAAATAGCTGAAATTATTAAAATAACCCCCTTCAAAAGTTTGGGAACCCTTGGTTCTTAATACTGTGTGTGGTTACCTTGGTCTACGACTGTTTTATTTGTTTTGTGCTGGTTGTTCATGAGTCCCTTGTTTGTTCTGAACAGTTAAACTGAGCACTGTTCTTCAGAAAAATGTCCTGCATGACCTGCAAATTCTTCTGTTTGAACCCTTTCCAGCAGTGACTATGATTTTGAGATCCATCTTTTCACACTGAGGACAATTGAGGGACTAAAACACAGATCAAAACCTATTAAAAAAGGTTCAAACATTCACTGACGCTCCAGAAGGAAACACGATGCATTAAGAGAGAAAACATTTGAACAGGATGAAGATGTCTAAATTTTTCTTATTTTGTTGAAATATCACTTTTTTCTTCCCCATTTAGTATTGGCCTTCGGAAGCAACAGAAGATACTTGCATGTTTTCCGGAAGACAAATTTACCTTGATCTACAAATTCAAAAAGTTTTCACCCCCCGGCTCTTAATGCAGTAGTCAACTACCAAATTGTTCAGTGTGAAAATTACTTTTACTCCCACTAATTCCTCTCCAGATAAATTGTAGCTACATTGAAATTAGCTAAATATTTTCGTTTAAAGCCAATCAAACAAGCAAAATCTGCGCCATTTCTCTGTTTAGTCAGTTCTATTCTTGAGTTGCCCTACATTTCGATTGCTTAGAGGCGGACTACTTGCAATACAAGGAATTTGTGCCCCAGGGCACGAGTGATATGTTTAGATGTGGTGTTGTACTTTATTTCAGAGTGTGCTACTGAACGGAAAGGGTGTGCGCTTTTGCACTGGGTCTCATTAATCTTTATACTGTATTCATTGCAAGGACTCTTCACGGCAGAAACGCACAAAACTGCTGTTTTCTTCCAGTGCCTGCTAAAATGAAATTAGCACTCCTGAGATGTCCCCGCATCTGTCATATAATCTACTGTTTTAGTTCGCTTGCATTTAACACTCTCCGTTTTCAAAACGCTGAAGGCTGAAGTAGCAGAGTCATGAATGAATAATGACAGAAAAACTTCAGACCAACTGCCAAATAACTCAACAGGCTCTTCAAATTACATATTCATGTTCAACTTCATGTCACTGTTACAAACAACAACAAATGGTTAGTTTCTGGCAGCATGAAAAATTAGAAAAAATATACTATAAGTTTGGGCCCAGTAAAAATTATTATTTTTTTTTTATTAGACCTATCTTATGTTCATCAGGACTGCATTTATTTGATGATAAATTTTGTGAAACATTATTACAACATGAAATAACTATTTTAAGATGTCATTTATTTCTGAGATGGTAAAGCAGAATTTTCATTAGTCATTACTCCAGTGTTTAGTGTCTCAAGATTCTCCAGAAATCATCCTAATACACTGACTTGGTTCTCAAGAATAATTTCTTATTATTACCAAAGTTGGAAAAAAGTTGTACTAAAAGGGTTAGTCCACCCCAAAATGAAAATTCTGTCATTAAATACCCTCATGTCGTTCCAAACCCGTAAGACCTATGTTCATCTTCAGAACACAAATTAAGATATTTTTGGTTAAATCAGAGAGTTCTCTGACCCTCCCATAGACAGCAACGCAACTGTAATGTTCCCAGGTCCAGAAATGTAGTAAGGACATCTGTAAAACAGTCCATGTGACATCAGTGGCTCAACTTCAATTTTTCGACATTACGAGAATACTTTTTGTGCACAAAGAAAACAAAAATAACTTCTTTATTCAACAATTCTTCTCCCCTGAGTTACCGTCTTCCGCCATTTTGGAGAGTATCACAATGCATGCGAACGCTTTCCCCTAAATGTAAAAAATGCTGATTACGCTGATTACGTTCATGTGCACGCTTCCTCCCCCTAACGTATCAACGCTGATTATATTTTGGTGTACTCTCCAAAAGTTCCCAGTGGAAGAAGTAACTCAGGGGAGGAGGATTGTTGAATAAACTGTTATTTTTGTTTTCTTTGCGCACGAAAAGTATTCTTGAAGCTTCGCAAAATTGAAGTTGAGCCACTGATGTCACATGGACTGTTTTACCAATGTCCTTACTACATTTCTGGACCTGGGAACATTACAGTTGCGTTGCTGTCTATGGGAGGGTCAGAGAGCTCTCTGATTTGATCAAAAATATTTAAATTTGTGTTCTGAAGATGAACGAAGGTCTCGCGGGTTTGGAACGACATGAGGGTGAGTAATTAATGACAGAATTTTCATTTTGGGGTGAACACACTTTAATCTTGTGGAAACTGTGCTACTTTTTCTCAGGACTCTTTGACGAACAGAAAGTTCAAAGGAACAGCACTGATTTGTAACAGAAATGTTTTGTATCATTATAAATGTCTTTACAGTAACTTTGATCAATTTAAAGCAACCTTGCGGAATAAAGGTATTTCTTCCGTACCCCATACTTTTGAACGGTAGTGTACCTACACTATCATCAACCAAAGGGTTCAAAAGTTAACAAGAAAAACACTCAATTAGCTATCTGAAGAAAGCTGTACAAGTAGTACTATACAGAATTAAACATCTTATTAATATTTCTAATACACCAAGAAACCAAATAAATCGAAAAAGACTGTATACCCAGTTTTGACTGGGCTTAACCATTCACTTGTTATCTTAACTAGTGCTTTGATTTTGCTAACAACTTCTGAAAAGTGTTCGGAGTCATAATTGCTACTTAAATCCTCTCTTTTTCATATCAGGACTCTTTGGCTCCTTGTCCAGGTGTTTTGGCTGACTTTTCTTTTGAACTCCAAAGAGCCTCTTCCTGACTCCCTCCAGCATGTCTCCACCTGTCCATGACCGTCATCCCAAATCTCTCCCCCTTTCCCCACAAAGCCTCTTGAATCCCATGAGGAGCCATGTTATAGGGAATAATGCACACATACTATTCGCTTCCATTCCCAGTTCTCAGGGAGTGAAGGAAGGAATCCCGCTGCTGTGTTTACACTCCTTTTAATTACTGTCATTACACAATAGCAGAGACAGAGATGTGTCATTACTCTCCATTAAACCACGAAGAAAACCTGTTGTGCACCACAGTTCTATGTATGAACGTTGTGTTAAGCATTTCTGTTGGATATTTTCTCTGCAACGACACAAGAAATTGCTTCTGTACACATACAATCTCAATATTCCAGCAAAGATTAGACACATGTTAACATCCAAACCATTAGTTCTGCAAAAGGAACAACAAAAGGGCATTCTCATCATTCAAAACCACAAAACGCATGGGAATCTGAGAAGTGCCGTGCAATTTGCACTGAGCTGTAGAAGAAACACCTGAATATAAAGTTTCTTTCCATTTCTCAAGATATATAATCTAGACCATCTCCTCCTCATTCCCATTCACAAGGTCAGCACGTTCATTATTTATGAGGCACTTCTCCTCAAATACATCTGTAGTGACTGTGAGACCTATTATGACTGATACTTTATCAGGCGAATCCTTTCTATGCCAGTGCTGTGATAATGGGCCTCTAAATAATTAACAACACAATGTCTTGCATAGATGGGCCAGGATTACTGCTTAAAGCAACAGATCTCAACACAAGTACATTAATCAGATTAAAAAGAAGCGAAAATAAGAAGAGGAATGGATACGTACCGCAAACAATGAGCCTTGATGGACACATGCTCCTGTGGATGAAGAAAATGAGGTGAACAAGAGTGGAAAAGGATCGATACATCAGCTTTCACTTGCAGGCCAATTGACAAGTTCATGATTACTTGTAATCAAATATCACAGTCATGGCAATCATGTGTCCAACAATATCTTGGACGTTCATAAATGCCCTTGTTGTCGCCCAATGCGAAAGAACACAAAAGATTGTCACACGGTTCATTAATGAAATTGAACGGTTTACCTTCAAAGGCTGTAAAGATAAAGATGTCAGCATGTTATAATCTTGCTCAGTTTTATGGGTTTGACATGAATTTACAATGTTAACACAAATATAGATGGGAATAATCACCCTTAAATATTTTGATATATTAAATATCAAAGTTTTACTTCTCAAAGAATGCATGCTTCCCTAAGGAAATATACGTTTATCTTGAGAATCAATAGCCATAATGTTGACTGTCAAAGCACTTCTAAATAATAATCATTGGCGATTGAGTTATAGTGAATTTATGCAAATGTATCAAGTTGATGTGGGAAGATCAAGATAACGGATGCGGGCGCCGTTTCATTACCAGCATCACTCGGAGACATCGTAGTCATGCGGTTATTTAATATTATAAGACTCTCTATTGCGCACTGCCTTTTTCATTGCATATTTCCACGCGTACCTATGGGACAAACAGATTTATCTAGAATGGTAAATCTATTTTATTGCAACTAACAGTTAAAAGAAAAAAGCATGCGCGCTGATCTGCGAGTTTTATCTATATTAGGCAACATTTACCAATGAATAAAGAAAAATCACGATAACAGAAACACCAACCTTTTGCTCCGGGCAAGCTGGTGCTGTATCCAATACAGCATCACTCGGAGACATCGTAGTCATGCGGTTATTTAATATTATAAGACTCTCTATTGCGCAATGCCTTTTTCATTGCATATTTCCACGCGTACCTATGGGACAAACAGATTTATCTAGAATGGTAAATCTATTTTATTGCAACTAACAGTTAAAAGAAAAAAGCATGCGCGCTGATCTGCGAGTTTTATCTATATTAGGCAACATTTACCAATGAATAAAGAAAAATCACGATAACAGAAACACCAACCTTTTGCTCCGGGCAAGCTGGTGCTGTATCCAATTAAAACGGTTAGGAGGATCCAAACAGGACCCATATTCACTTTAGAAACTGTTAATCCAAAATGCTCAAAAATACAACGGCTTTAACTTGAATGAGAATGAGTGCGTATCATCGTTGCTCTGCTGTGGGCTCAAATCAATCACCAGCGCCTGAGCTTGAAGTCTTGCAGACGGTCTGTATCGTTACTGGGATGCATCCAGTCCGAGTAGATACAGTCCAGTGAGCTCTCCAGCGAAACTTCCTCACAGAGAGCGGTTCCCACATGAAAATCCTCCCTTTTAAAAGTACGGGGCCATTACTAAGACAACTTGAACGCGAGTAATTACAGGGGAACACGCACTAACAACCACTGAGCGTACGAGCCGCTCTTTAAAGCGAGTTATTGGAGACACGACCAGCTGCATTCACGAGTTGAGAAGCCCCCTCCTCCCCCTCCACCGCTGTGGGAACTAAACCTGTGGCCATCAAACTTTTGACGGGTGTTAGGTTTTGTGGCAGGCTGAGAGCGCTATGGACGAACGTTTTTGCTAATTTTTTTAAGGTTGAGTTTAAAATGCATTCCAAACTTGGTGGAATCATGCTAATTCTATTTCTACAACGTTGTGCGTGCATTAGAATAAATATTTTAAAAAAATATTTGTACTTAAAATTCCTAGGTCACGTGCAGCAGCGCAATCTGATCCTTGCTTGGTGCTCATTCAAGGACAAACACAGAAAAATCTTCAACATTTGTAGACTTAGGAAATACATTCAGCCCTTTTTTTTTAAAAACCTGAAAAAAAATATATTTGTACTTAAAATTCCTAGGTCACGTGCAGCAGCGCAATCTGATCCTTGCTTGGTGCTCATTCAAGGACAAACACAGAAAAATCTTCAACATTTGTAGACTTAGGAAATACATTCAGCCCTTTTTTTTTAAAAACCTGATATATATTCAAATGTCGTTTTAAAATCTCTCCACATATCTTATCACACAGCTGGTCTATAAAATCATGATTGCACTATACATAAGAGACCAATGCTTCTTGTAATTACACACTTATGGTTAAATGTTTACATACAAAACCTACCTTTGTTCATCTTCCCTTAACAAGGATATTTAGAATTTGAAATCGACAAAAAAAATGAAGGCAGAAAGTACTGCATTGCCTTGATTAGTTAGAAAAAGTGTTTCTACTGCCACCTGCTGTGATAGATTGGGGATGACAGGGCAAGAAAAAAAAATCATTTTTTACAAGTTGGGCCTAGAAAAAAAATCATTTTTTTCTAGGCCCAACTTGTATGAATAAAGCATAAACTGCTTTTGTTCTTCTAAGTTAGTTTGGACAAAAGCATCTGCATAATTGTAAATGTAATTAGTGCATATACAGAAGTCTGCAAATAGTTTTTGACATTCCATACCACCACAAATTGATCTCCACTATGATGCTCAACGTGGGTCGAAATCCTTTGCAACAGGGGACTTATTGACTACAATGGGCCATTAACCGTGTTGCCTCCATACCTAAAACATGCTACTGTAAACATTGGCTTCAGAATAAAAATCACACACTTAGACAATATCACATTTACCATTTTAATTACAGTCTATATGTTTTGTACAATGCAAATATATACAAAGCAAAAAATGTCACGCCTTTTCCTCTTCCTGTGGTAATAATTCTTCGATTTTAATGTGCAAACCCTCACTTGACCTGCTGCAGACAATTGCTCGCTCAATAAAAGAACCTGGAAGAAAAATCACAATACATTTTATTCATGTCAAAGAATAGAATACTTCCACCTAACAGCCAAAGGAATTCAGTCTAAGCATTTGCACAGAGAACAGAGAATGAAAGAATGTGATTATAATCAGAATTTGTGAGGTGGTTAGGATGATAATTAAAATTACTTAATACATAAATTACTTACCAAATTCTGCTGGTTTATGGCTTGCCACATCTTTTACAATGGCATGAATGTTTGCCAGAATATACTCATTCGGCATGTCCAGCTGTTTAAAAAAAACAAATTATGTTAACAAGGTGGGAGGGGGTGCAGATGTGAAAATAAGCAGATACCACCCTGTCCTCTCTTACTTTATTACTAATAGACATGTCTGTCACACAAAGCAGTTCAATGTGACTTACTGTGGCAGGCTGAGAGCGCTATGGACGAACGTTTTTGCTAATTTTTTTAAGGTTGAGTTTAAAATGCATTCCAAACTTGGTGGAATCATGCTAATTCTATTTCTACAACGTTGTGCGTGCATTAGAATAAATATTTTAAAAAAATATTTGTACTTAAAATTCCTAGGTCACGTGCAGCAGCGCAATCTGATCCTTGCTTGGTGCTCATTCAAGGACAAACACAGAAAAATCTTCAACATTTGTAGACTTAGGAAATACATTCAGCCCTTTTTTTTTTTAACCTGATATATATTCAAATGTCGTTTTAAAATCTCTCCACATATCTTATCACACAGCTGGTCTATAAAATCATGATTGCACTATACATAAGAGACCAATGCTTCTTGTAATTACACACTTATGGTTAAATGTTTACATACAAAACCTACCTTTGTTCATCTTCCCTTAACAAGGATATTTAGAATTTGAAATCGACAAAAAAAATGAAGGCAGAAAGTACTGCATTGCCTTGATTAGTTAGAAAAAGTGTGTTTCTACTGCCACCTGCTGTGATAGATTGGGGATGACAGGGCAAGAAAAAAAACCATTTTTTACAAGTTGGGCCTAGAAAAAAAATCATTTTTTTCTAGGCCCAACTTGTATGAATAAAGCATAAACTGCTTTTGTTCTTCTAAGTTAGTTTGGACAAAAGCATCTGCATAATTGTAAATGTAATTAGTGCATATACAGAAGTCTGCAAATAGTTTTTGACATTCCATACCACCACAAATTGATCTCCACTATGATGCTCAACGTGGGTCGAAATCCTTTGCAACAGGGGACTTATTGACTACAATGGGCCATTAACCGTGTTGCCTCCATACCTAAAACATGCTACTGTAAACATTGGCTTCAGAATAAAAATTCTACTGCCACCTGCTGTGATAGATTGGGGATGACAGGGCAAGAAAAAAAAATCATTTTTTACAAGTTGGGCCTAGAAAAAAAATCATTTTTTTCTAGGCCCAACTTGTATGAATAAAGCATAAACTGCTTTTGTTCTTCTAAGTTAGTTTGGACAAAAGCATCTGCATAATTGTAAATGTAATTAGTGCATATACAGAAGTCTGCAAATAGTTTTTGACATTCCATACCACCACAAATTGATCTCCACTATGATGCTCAACGTGGGTCGAAATCCTTTGCAACAGGGGACTTATTGACTACAATGGGCCATTAACCGTGTTGCCTCCATACCTAAAACATGCTACTGTAAACATTGGCTTCAGAATAAAAATCACACACTTAGACAATATCACATTTACCATTTTAATTACAGTCTATATGTTTTGTACAATGCAAATATATACAAAGCAAAAAATGTCACGCCTTTTCCTCTTCCTGTGGTAATAATTCTTCGATTTTAATGTGCAAACCCTCACTTGACCTGCTGCAGACAATTGCTCGCTCAATAAAAGAACCTGGAAGAAAAATCACAATACATTTTATTCATGTCAAAGAATAGAATACTTCCACCTAACAGCCAAAGGAATTCAGTCTAAGCATTTGCACAGAGAACAGAGAATGAAAGAATGTGATTATAATCAGAATTTGTGAGGTGGTTAGGATGATAATTAAAATTACTTAATACATAAATTACTTACCAAATTCTGCTGGTTTATGGCTTGCCACATCTTTTACAATGGCATGAATGTTTGCCAGAATATACTCATTCGGCATGTCCAGCTGTTTAAAAAAAACAAATTATGTTAACAAGGTGGGAGGGGGTGCAGATGTGAAAATAAGCAGATACCACCCTGTCCTCTCTTACTTTATTACTAATAGACATGTCTGTCACACAAAGCAGTTCAATGTGACTTACTGTTGCAACTTGTGTGTTAACATAGATGTCCTCAACCATGTATTCATGACCACTCTTGAATAATGCAAGCATTTTGGGAATATTCATTCCAACTGATCCTGATGCAAGAATCACAGAGCCATTTAACCTCGGGTTAGTTGTACATTAATAAATCATGCCTGATACATGTGAAACTCACTGACCTCTCTTGCTCTTGGGAAACTTCTTCCTCAGCTTGTTCTTCAAAGGGAGCAGCTTTTGTACCATGTCTGGCTCAGCCAAGTAAAAATCTGCTGTGATCTCATCCGCTAAAATCTGTAATCAACAATGATTAAAAGGCACACAAAGTAAATGGGTAATTGCAAAATCAAGCCAAAACACAGATTGAATTCAGTGTAAGTGGGTACTTTTTGAATGCAATTAAAATAAACATTCATTTTTTACACAGGCAAACCTTTAAACAGTATATGTAGGAATTGCATGTCTAGGTTCTCATGAGCTTTACCTTCTCAACCAGTTCTGCTCCACCTGCAACTGCTGCTCCATTCTCCATCGCTATCCTGGCTTGATCTGGATTCTGTAAAGCCGTAACTCTACATTACTGCATGCAAACTGTGCAGAATTCTTAAATGGACCTGTAATGTTTAACATAATGGACCACAGAGTGATTATCCCACCTCAGTGAAAAACACTATTTTGTTGATATCCGACTTGAAGGAATGTGGTAAATGAATTGTGCTAACAAACGGATCCACTTTTTTCTGAAACAAAAACATTGGAAAGTCATTAAGGTTTAAAGTTCTGTTGTTGCAGTTATAATGTGGAGTGCTGAAAAGTTTTCTTTAGCACTGTAACAACACTAGGGGGAATATTTACTCAACCGGCAAGAGTATTTTTCATCCAGTTAACTCAAAATAACACTCTTTGTAGTTTATTTAATAATATAATCAATTCAAAGTGTTCCATCACAAGAATAGACAGACTTTTGCATTAGTCGCACATTAAATGTTTTTAACACCACAATTCAGCAAGCATTTCAGCAACTGTTCGGATGTACTGATAAATGTTTGAGCTTTTTTAAAAGGTTCAAGAATCATCAAGATATGGTGTAGAACATGATGCATTTAAGTTTTTTGAAACATGAACAGCTCTACAAGAACAGAAGAGCTTTTGTGGATTCCTGGGACATATCTGCAGCAAACTAGCAAAACAATTTGCAGATTTAGAATACAAACTCTAGTTCAAATTAATACATTGCCGTTCAAATGTTTGGGGACAGTAAGAATTTGTCTTTTTTATTAAGTTTTTTGAAACATGAACAGCTCTACAAGAACAGAAGAGCTTTTGTGGATTCCTGGGACATATCTGCAGCAAACTAGCAAAACAATTTGCAGATTTAGAATACAAACTCTAGTTCAAATTAATACATTGCCGTTCAAATGTTTGGGGACAGTAAGAATTTGTCTTTTTTTTTATTTTTCAAAAGTGACAGTGAAAACTTTAACATTACTTCTAGGGCTGTCAAAATGGCTGAAAAACTAGATTTGAATTTTGTACTTTAATGTTATCAAAATTCAAATTACATTAGAATTTAAAATGCATAATTTCAGTTAGGGTGAATAAAAGCTTTTGGCTTCTCTTCTGAGGCCACAAGAAGGCGCATCGAGCAAAATATTACTAATGCACTTAAAGAGCACAATGTTCTCCACTTCAAGTAAGCCGTTAAAATGTCAAGAATCGTTCTTTGAGTCGGAGTTTTAATGAATTGATTGAACCGGTTCGCAAACCGTTCCGAACTGTTCGTTCACGAAACGAACTGAATCGGTTCTCGATTCACCTACTTAATGAATCATTGAACCTGGAACCAACTAAGCAGTCAGATTCCCATTCGAAGCGATCCTAAGTGATCTAATATTAAGAGCATATGGGGTGAACCAAGGATTTGTGAAAATTGAGTTACTTTAATTAACAAAAATGTTGAAAATTAGTAGAAAATATGCATATTCTACTTGATAATGACGTCAACACATATGAAACAAATTACAGCGTTTTTTTTGTGTGCAAAACTCGTTAGCAAAAAGATGTGCATTTAGTATTGTTTAATGAAAATGTACATTTAAGTTCCAAATGTTTTTATGTTTTTTGTAAGCTGATCATGGCTGCAGCTAACTGAACTTAAATACACACAATTACAAACACCCTTATTAATAGAACATAAATAAACAGCAATACGTGCCAACTGCCCACGTTTTTAATAAGACTTTATAAAATGTGCGACGTCAGGGGCCATGTGACGCAACTGCGTAATGGCGTAAAATAATAGCCAAATCTGTTGTTTGAATCGCTTTTTAAAAACTGCCTGTTCAAAAGAACCGATTCGCGGAAACGACTCGGACTTCTTATCGTTGGTTGTGAGGGGACTGTAGACTGGAGCGGAAGCTCAGAGTGTTGTCCTTCCTTCTGCCCGACTCTCAGGATGAGGATCGGTCGCAGTTTGTCTGTATGTCTCTGATCATATCACACCAGCAGCTCCTCTCCCACCTCCCGAATGCAGGTAAGAACCTAAGTACTGCATTCCGGCGTGGTGCCTTTGCGTTCTTTATGTCTTTGGGTGTCAAACACGCCCGCCGTCTCCAGCCCTACCTCCAGAAGATCGGCTAAGGAGACGGTGTGTGCCGTAACTTAATAAACACGAGAGAACCGTGTTTCAACCCATTACACAACACATAGTTTCTCCTGATTAATAGATGACCGTATTTGGTGATAACGAGGAACGTCTGACCTGGTGGCACGGCCAGATCTGCTCCTGCTTTTCATGTTGTGCTCACCAACCAAACTTAATCTATGTAAATCGCAACTTTGTGCATTCACTGACAAAGCAAGAATAGCTAATAATAATAGCCTTACAGAACACAAACCTCGTTATTGGAGTAGTTGACAACTGCACTAGGTCGTTGACACGCTTTTAACTGTAACGCGAAACACCGCGGTGTTTTTAACAACAAGTCCAAGTTGGGTTCAGCTCGGAACATTCTGTGTTTGTTTTATTCTTAGAAGTTACTTAGTAACCTCAAAGAGCGGGTTACGTAACGCCTCGGCTGTCATTATCGTGGACCTGCGTGCATTTGCTTATGAGCCGTGGTGTTCAGTCAAATAACTTTTATTGTCACATGACATGACCATATACACAGGGGTTTATTGACAGATAAAGACCACAAAATTCACAATACACACATTAGACTCAATGTACACATAATGTATACTTAATATACAATATATAGAATTATATATACAACATGAAGAATCCAACACCTATACATAAATAAACACAAATAAAACCTACTGACAGCAGAAATTTGACCCTGGACCACAAAACCAATCGTAAGGGTTTTGAAATTAAGACTTAGAATAAGAATAAATAAGCTTTCAATTGATGTAAGGTTTGTTAGGATAGGACAATATTTGGCCGAGATACAACTATTTGAAAATCTGCAACAAAAAAAAATCAAAATATTGAGAAAATCGTATTTAAAGTTGTCTAAATGAAGTTCTTAGCAATGCACTAATAAAAAATTAAATGTTGATATATTTACGGTAGGAAATGTACTGAATATCTTCATGGAACATGATCTTTACTTAATATCCTAATGATTTTTGGCATAAAAGAAAAATCGATCATTTTGACCCATATAATGTATTGTTGACTATTGCTACAAATATACCCGTGCTACCGACTGGTTTTGTCAACATGAAGAATCCAACACCTATACATAAATAAACACAAATAAAACCTACTGACAGCAGAAATTTGACCCTGGACCACAAAACCAATCGTGATTTCCAAAATTGAAGATAGTAATGGCTGCTGAAAATGTAGCTTTGCTTTCACGGGGATGAATTACATTTGAAAATATATTTAAATAGACAACATACAATTAACATTGTAATAATACTTATAAATGTGTTGTTATTTAACTATTTTTGATTAAATAAATGTAGCCTTGTTGAGCATAAGAGACTTCTTACCAATCCCAAACTTTGGAACTGAAGTGTAGATGATATGTTGATATTTTACAGCTTCACATGGTACCTATGCATTAATTTTCTTTAGTTTTATTTTAAATTAAACTTAAGCAATCCTTACTGATGTCAGAAAAAAAGTTTTTACTTTGCACAAGTTGAAGTGCAGTTGTTGGTTTGTTGTCTGATTTACTGTGCATCATGTTTACATAATGTCAGTTTGTCTAAGGGCGATCTGGCTTGATCTGAGGCCTTATGAGTCACTCTCACAGCATTCCTAAACTGACCACTACAATTACAATTACAATGCCAGCTGACTCATAGATCAGGCTTTCAACTTTCTCTCAGTTTATGATGATTTCTTACAAATATTTTGAGAAAATCAGTGACATATTGTAAGAGAAATGGTGACTAATTATTTGTTTTCTTTATGTATTTTCAGATTAACAGGCATGCCAAAGGAAAAATATGATCCTCCAGACCCACGCAGATTATATACCATCATGTCAGCCGAGGAAGTGGCCAGTGGGAAGAAGTCACACTGGACCGAGTTGGAGATTTCTGGTTAGTTATTATTCCTCAATTCTTTGGCCTCATACCTCAATTCATAATTCATCAACTTATTTTTATGAATATGCTACTGAGGGTACAGTACACTGACATGAGAGAAATAAATTAATAAATCAGTGAACATGAAAGCCTACTTATATTAAACTACTCAAAAAAGCTGTTTTTATCCATAAGTGATGTACATATCAGTATGCGTGTTCTTTGGGAAATTTGTAGAAAAATGTTTACTCTGTCTTGTGATTTCTTGGTACAGGGCGGGTCAGAAGTCTAAGCAGCTCACTATGGACGCTGACCCATCTGACTGCTCTCCACATCAACAACAACAACCTGAGCCGGATTCCTCCAGAAATCGCAAAGCTACCCCATCTCGTCTACCTAAACCTGTCCTCCAACAAACTGCGCAGCCTGCCAGCAGAACTCGGCAACATGGTGACTCTCAGGTATGTAACAAATCGGTCAGATTCCCATCAGAATGACGATAAGTAAAACAGTTCTATTGGCCTTTCAGCATTATTACAGATTCTTAAGGTCAAGTGCCATTATTATTCTTCCTCTTACAGCAAAACATTAATAGACCAAAAATTTAAAATAGACAAAATATATAAATAAATATATATTCAACTGGACTTATCAATAGTTGAGGTCTTTTTGTTCACTTTGAGTGATTTTAACACTATTGTTATACTAAACAGTCACCTTTTGTCACATTTGTTTCTTTCTTTGTGTTTTTTTTTTTTAGGGAATTGCTTTTGAACAACAATTGTTTACGAGTTTTGCCTTATGAACTTGGTCGGCTGTTCCAGTTGCAAACCCTTGGACTCAAAGGTAAAGCTTTTTTTTTTTTCTTTTTTTTAATCATATGTTGTTTTATATTATGCAGAACAAGCATGCAATATTTCTTATTAGGCCTGAGAACAAGATTTCTTTCCCAGGTAATCCATTGTCCCAAGATATACTCAACCTGTATCAGGAGCCGGATGGAACAAGGAAATTATTGAATTACATGCTTGACAATCTTGCAGGTAATAATGGACACAGGTACATAGCTTATTAATACTATACAGTTATTCACTAAGTTATTCATTTAATTTTCCCCTCCCAATATTAGTCCACCCAGAACAACTCCCCCAACGACCTTGGATCACTTTGAGGGAGCGAGACCAAATGATGCCCACAGGTACCTACTGCTAGAATCTTGTCACTGGCTTTTAAAAATCATGATTTAGCAAGGAGCAAAGCTAATATAAAATGTTTGTGTCCTCAAGCTGTGTTCACAGTAATGTGCTACAACGTACTGTGCGACAAGTATGCAACAAGACAGTTGTACGGCTACTGTCCCTCATGGGCCCTTAACTGGGAGTACAGGAAGAAGGGCATCATGGAGGAGATCACTAACTGTGATGCTGACATCATCAGCCTGCAGGTATGAAGCTCCCATTTCAAAATTAAAAAGGAAATCTCAGTTACAATTAGAAATGTGTACACTACCATTTAAAAGTTTGGGATTGATCAAATGTTTTAAAGTAGTCTCTTATTCTCACCAAGGCTGCTTTTATTTGATAAAAAAATACAGGAAACATAACAATATTGAAAATATTATTACAGTTTACCTTTCAGATATGTTACCTCTCATGCCTGTAACTTCTAATATGATAAATGCATATATAGTTATATCTTTACATAAAAAAATGAAGCTAAATTATTATCATGTGTAAACAATACATTTCACGTGACGTGGGGTCTTAATATCAGCAGTGTTTTATACTTTGCTCTAATGCTCATTCATGTGCAGGAGGTGGAAACAGAGCAGTACTACACTTTCTTTCTGGAAACACTGAAAGAGCGTGGATATGATGGCTTTTTCTGTCCAAAATCTCGTGCCAAACTCATGTCAGAACAGGAGCGGAAACATGTGGATGGCTGTGCTGTGTTCTTCAAGACCGAGAAGTGAGAAATTCCTTCTGTCTTCTTAAAAGGTTTAAAGGGGTTATGAACTGAGAAATCAAAATTCCCTTGATATTTTTTTGTTATATAAGAGGTCACTGTGCTATAAAAACATTCTGTACGTTTCAGAACTCACAGGTTCTTTGAGAGAACACTCTATTTTGTAATAGTGTGGCTAAACACCGCCTCCTCAGAAGTAGATACATTTTTTAAAGTGAAATGATATTAAGCTCATCTATTGCACTTTTTTACTTTCTAGATTTGCTCTGGTGCAGAAACACACAGTGGAGTTCAATCAGGTTGCCATGGCAAACTCAGAGGGCTCGGAGGTTATGCTAAACAGAGTCATGACCAAAGATAACATCGGAGTAGCTGTCCTGTTGGAAGTGAAGAAAGACTTGTTCGCTAGTGGTAAGGACCTTGAGTGATGAATGTTAACATTGAAATAGCTCAATTTAGGTTTCCTGTTCTTCCCGGACACAAAGCTGTTTAGCTTTGTCCTGTAGATGGCAGTAAATCACTACGATAGAAATGTTTACATGAGAGGACCATAAGAAAGTGAAAATGAAAGTGACCTGACATGTTGCCAAGTGAGGTTTGGTGTCCCACACTCGGAATTTGTGCTCTGCGTTTAACCCATCCAAGTACACACACACCGTGAACACACACCCGGAGCAGTGAGCAGCCAATGCTGCGGCGCCCAGGGGGCAGTTGGGGGCTTGGTGCCTTGCTCAAGGGTCTCACCTCAGTCATGGTATTGAAGGTGGAGAATAACTACTGTCTCTGGAAATTAATTAAAGTTCATGAATAGATTATATGTCAGTAGAATTAATTTTGACCCTAAAAATGATTCAACATATAGTATATTAGTATTTATTGATGAAGTTGTATTTTTTACGTTTTGCTGTGTGTGGCAGGTTAGGAAATTGGTGGATATTGACCACTTTGAAAATAACCTCAGTAGCACTCTCTGAATGCTTTACAACAGGGGTCCCCAAACTACGGCCCACCCCCACATTTGGACCGGCCCTCTGAACAATGCCAGAGACATATTTAGAAAATTTAATTTTAAATATACGGTTTCACTTATGTCATGTCTATATTTGATAATAAATATTGTCTTTCAGACAAAAATGTCCCTTAGTTATTAACGTAGCCTAATTATTTGTTAAATTCACCTACCAACAGAATGGTACGTTCAACATAACGTACCATCGCGATTGAACAGGTGACGTGCGAACCAGTGAAAAAATTCAAAGAGATGACAAAATGGTCAAGCGGTTGGGAAAGAGAAAGGATGATTCAGAATGCAGGGTATTTAACCAAAAGTGGACTAGCGATTATTTTTTTGTTCAGTGCAAAGAAGTGGCTGTTTGTCTCATCTGTAAAGAAACAGTGTCTGTGTTCAAACAATACAATCTGCGCGACACTATGGAACCCACCACAGAGAAAAGTATGCTAGCTTGCAAGGCCAAATGAGAGCAGACAAAGTGTCGAAGCTAAAGAGTGTACTATCAGCTCAGCAGAATACATTTGTATGCCAAACCCAGCTGAAGCAGTCATCCGTTCGAGCTAACTTTCAGGTAGCTAAACTGATTGCAACCAGAGGTAGGCCATTCAGTGACGGCGAGTTCGTCAAGAAATGTATGAATGCTGTTGCGGAGGAGGTGTGCCCTGATAAGAAAGATGTCTTAAATGCGGTGAGTCTGTCCGCAAGTACAGTCACCAGATGAATTGAAGAAATGGGGGAAAATTTATATGCCCAGCTGCAGGAGAAAGTGAAAGAATTTGATTTTTTTGCATTAGCACTGGATAAGAGCAATGACGTACAGGACACAGCACAGCTGCTAATTTTTCTTCGCGGAGTTAGCTCAAACTTTGAAGTGTCAGAGGAGCTAGCAGCCCTACAAAGTCTAAAAGGCACTACGACGGGGGAGGATATTTTTGGTAAAGTGTGCCAAACGATGGGAGAGCTGGGTCTAGACCGGTCTAAGCTGGCCTGCATCACTACTGACGGGGCTCCTAGTATGGTTGGCGCGTCGAGGGGGCTTATAGGACGCATGAATAAAGAAATGGAGGAAAGAGGTCTAACCCCACCGTTACAAGTCCACTGCCTGATTCACCAGCAAGCACTCTGCTGCAAAGTTCTGAAGTGGGAATCAGTCATGAAGGTGGTGGTGTCGTGCATAAACTTCATCAGAGCAAACGGACTTAAACACCGGCAGTTCCAAGCCTTTCTCGTCGAGCTAGAGTCTGCTCACGGAGATGTGCTTTACCACACTGAAGTCCGATGGTTAAGCCGGGGCAGAGTTTTGAGGCGTTTTTATGAGCTGCTACCCGAAATCAACGCCTTTCTTCTGACAAAGGGCAAAACTGTCCCAGAACTGATCGACGCAGAATGGAAATGGGACCTCGCCTTTTTAACAGATGTGACAGAAATGTTGAATGGCCTCAACTTGCAGCTCCAAGGCAAGGGGAAACTAATATGTGACATGTATTCCCACATAAAAGCATTTGAGGTGAAACTAGAACTGCTTGTGGGACAAGTGCAAAAGCAAGACTTCTTGCTCCCCGTTACCCAAAGTCTCTCAGCTGAGAAACCAGTGGCTCCATTCCCAGCTGAAAAGTCTGTGGAAGCCACGCCTTTGAAATCTGCCTTTTCCAGAACCCCTTTGCAGCCGACATTGATGTAATAATTTTTATTAGCTCTAAAAAGGGAAATATTTATGACGAATTATAACTGGTTATGATTCATAATAAATATTTAGATTATATCTTCGAATTAACTGTAGCAGAATCAATATTACAATTATTTGATCTGTCCGTCCACCGATTGTAATTTATATGCAAATGTCAAAAGGCTAAAAGGGTCTCTTAAGCCATAAACACTGCAAAGATCATGCATGATTCTACGCAGACGCTACATTGATGAAGCCCTGCCGCCTTATCAGTTTGAGTTGACTGAGTTACAGAACTGTGATGTTCTGAAAGACGCATTTAAGCCCAAGTCTCATTGAATTCTATGCTGCCCTCCCTAACGAGACATACCCAAACATCAAAAGGCATGCAATGAAGATGTCCACACTTTTTGGCAGCACGTATATTTGTGAGCAAACCTTTTCATGCATGAAACTGATGAAAACTCCAATGAGATCAAGACTCACTGATGAACATTTGCATCAGTCTTTGAGACTGGCTGTGACAGGAATGGAACCTGACATTGGACTTCTCACTAGCCAGAAGCAAGCCCACAGTTCACACTAATTAATATGCATAAGTAAATGTTTTGATTTTGAATAGCACTGAATATGAAAAAATGTCATTACGATCGTAATAACAATGCTCTTTTAATAGGCTATATGTCTCTTGAAAAGTAATCATTTGTCTGTACGGTGCATCACAAAATAAACTATTCTAGCATTAGGAGGCATAATAAATACATTTAAAATCATAATAAAATCTCCACAATAATACTAGTAGTCACTCCGGCCCATGTAATTGTCTGTTACAAACCGACCCGGCCCCCCATTAAAGAAAGGGGAAATTATGTGGCCCTTGCAGAAATAAGTTGCAGATGCAGCTGTAAGTAAATGAAATCAAATAAAAAAAATTGTAAGCCAAGTTAGTTATAAGCAATGTGGTGCTCTGATAAATAAAATGAATGGCTTCTATGGTTGAATTCAGTGCTAGGTTGGATTTCAGTGATATCATACTTTCTATTTCCTTCATGATGCCTCAAAACAGCTGAATACAGCATACACACTTTTTGATGAGTTTTGCTTTATTTCTTCTTTCTCAGCATATTCTTCTTTTTTTCCCCCTCGAATCAATCTTCAATATTGTTACAGCTCCCATTCATTTTACTGGTGTTATAATGCAGGTCTAAAGCAGCCTTCAGAGAAACAGCTCCTGCTGGTAGCTAACGCCCACATGCACTGGGATCCGGAGTACTCGGATGTGAAGCTCATCCAGACTATGATGTTCCTGTCTGAGCTAAAGAGCATCGCTGAGAGGGCATCGGGATCCATCAACTCTGCATCACCCACGTCAGACATCAGCTCCATCCCTATCGTCCTGTGCGCTGACCTCAACTCGCTTCCAGACTCTGGTGAGCAATGTTTGGAACTGCTTATTAAGAATAAATAGTTAGAGGGAATGGGGAACTCACTTGGGCAATCTTTATTGTGAAAGTTCCAACTAAAATGAGTTCAAGAGCTCCAAGCAAGAAAGCAAGCCATAATATAGCGCCCATGAAGTGGATGGCATGCAGTTCGCCTTTCCGTTCCTTATATAGGATAAGCGACTATGTCCACCTGCTGCAATATTAAAGTAATGGTTCATCCAAAAATGAAAATTCTGTCATCATTGACATTTACTAATCCTCGTGTTGTTTCAAATCTGTATGACTTTCTGTGGAACACAAAAGAAGATATTTTAAAGAATGCAGGACTTCCATTGTGTGGACAAAAAAACCCACTGAGACATTTCTCAAAATATCTTCTTTTATGTTTGCCTCAGATTCGGCATGAAGCTCTTGTCTTAGCATTACTTGGTTTCCTGGCCTTTCTTCACAGGTGTGGTGGAGTATCTGAGTAATGGTGGAGTTGCAGAAAATCACAAAGACTTTAAGGAACTGCGTTACAGCGATTGTCTAACCAACTTCAGTTGCAACAGCAAAAATGGAAAGCCCGATGGCAGTATCACGCACAGTTTCCAGCTGAAGAGTGCCTATGAGGGGAATCTCATGCCCTACACCAACTACACTTATGACTTCAAGGTCAGGAGATATTTAGGTTTCACAAATTGAGTGAACCACGACATGCTTCGTTATTGTATTGCCCAGAAACCAGTGCAATATAAGGCTGCTGCTGGCTCCTGAATTTAGATTATTGTCACAGATTTTTGTTTACCCTCTTTTAAAACATGCTTTCTCCTTTTTTGTAGGGTGTGATTGACTACATTTTCTTCTCTAAGACACACATGCGTGTTCTGGGTGTTCTGGGTCCACTGGAGACTCAGTGGCTGAAGGACAACAGCATAACGGGCTGCCCCCACCCACACATCCCTTCCGATCACTTTTCCCTCCTGGCTCAGCTGGAGTACCACCCGCCCTTACCCCCCCTCAACGGGCTGCATCTGCCTGTCCACAGGTAGTGCAGCCCCCCTTCCCCTACTCCTCTAAATCCCCAAACCATGGATGAACCCCTATGATGAGCCCCTACAAATATAGGCACACACATTAAGGAGTGAAGTACTCGCCTACTTTGTTCCTTTTTAACCTTTGCACAGGATTATATGATCTTATTATTATGTTTTCCAACTTGAAAACAAAAGCTTAATACCAAATTAGGGTTGGGATTCTCTGTTTGGTACCAAACAAACGCTGCTTTCAGGGAAATTGATCTGTTTGTCTGAATTTAAATGTGAGATTGTATAAGCCATGTGTCAGTTTTTGGATGGTAGAAATGTGCTTTATAATTGCTACAGAAGACTACCTAGGAGTTTAAGGCATAGTTCACCCAAAAATGACTCAAACCTCTATGCCTTTATTTCTTCTTTGGAACAGTTCAACTCAGGCTAATTCAGCTTAGTCTGGTTGTTTCACATTTGTTTCAATGGTAATGGATTGTCAGCTGCATCGGTACAGGATGAACGTTAATTTATGTTTAGAAATGTCATTTTGTGATTTGTTGCAGAAGAGAAATGACAAGAAATGTCATTTTATTTGTTAGGCGCAACTAAGAGCATTTCCATAGTTAGAGGCCTTTCTCATTGTTATATCTACATTTTTATGGGTTTCAAGGTTGGCAAGACATAATCATTTGCTAAATTTCTCTAAAAGCTGTTATGCACTTCACAACTTATGCGCATAAAAATATAACATGCTCAATTATGTAACATAAATTTCTTATACGGTAAGAAAACATGCGCATAAACTACAAAACACTTTTACCAAATAAATTCCTTAATCCGCATCAAAAAAGACACGTGACTTTGCAATAGGACAGCAACTGGACCAACCAACGGACCGATCTCATTGCACAGCATCTGAAATGCAAGTTTTGTCATTCTAAAATGCTTGAGCAAAGTCTCGTCAAAGTCATTAGTGTTGTTGTCTGTCACATGCATGAATTCTGACTTCAATAAACCGAAAGTCCTTTGTTCAAGCTAGCAATCTCCAAAATGTTTAATGCTTAAAGCTTCTTGAGTTAAAATCCTGCAGCATTTATGATGTTTAATCTGTGAGGAGAATAGGTTGTTGGTAGTACTTGCCTGTTCAACACATCCAGGCTCACATATGTCTATTTGGACAAAGCTATAGCTTTCTTAACATGCTTTGGCGGACTGTGCCTTGTTCTGTGTTGAGCTGGTCTGAGTAAAACATTTCAAAAGGAAAGGTCAGAGGTGCTGAAGTGGACTGTTAAGTGTTGGACTATGTTTGCTGCATGTTACTTATCACTGCCATCAGACCTTCGAAAAAAAATAATAACCACACTGATTAACTCCCCTTTCCTGTTAATTTTAATGACATTTTTATTAGAGGCTGGGGTTTACGTGGCCCCAGTGCAGGTTGTACCAGTGGGCCCTGTTTGAAATTGTTGAATTTGTATGTTTGTTCTATTTATTTATTTACACAATGTTAAAGTTTTTTCAAGTTTGTAGGTGTCCAGGTACAGAAACCGAATAATTAAATGTAAAATAGCACTGCATAGTCTTCAATGTAAAAATTAAACATACAGTCGAACCAAAATGTATTCAGATACCTTCAACATTTCTCACATTATCACAGTTTATTTGCTATAGTTTAGAATATGGTAATAAAATATGACAAGAACTCAGAGTTAAACTGTGTCAGAACAAATTAATCTTGATAATGTCAGATAACTTTGATAGAAAGGTATGTAACGGATTACAATCAACCAAAACTTTAGACAACTGTATGACAATATTTACACACCTATCAATACTTTGTTGACCAGTTACCAAGCAATGCTTAATTTTGTTCAGTCTGTGGTGTAAAAAGGTTGCATTAGCAATTCAAGAAAAATCATGTAAGCAAAGCATGGTCAGGTCAAAGTGTCTGAATAATTTTTGGTCCCAATTTTTTTTTTTATCAATTTCACTGGTAGTCCACAGTATGAAGAATTTTGGGGTATAATATGTCACAGTTTACTTTATTTTGCTATACTCACTTACATAAATGAACTATAGTGTCCTGCACCCACTAGTAAAAAAAATATAATACAAAAATTATATCTGGAATATGACAAGAACTCAGAGTTAAACTGTGTCAGAACAAATTAATCTTGATAATGTCAGATAACTTTGATAGAAAGGTATGTAACGGATTACAATCAACCAAAACTTTAGACAACTGTATGACAATATTTACACACCTATCAATACTTTGTTGACCAGTTACCAAGCAATGCTTAATTTTGTTCAGTCTGTGGTGTAAAAAGGTTGCATTAGCAATTCAAGAAAAATCATGTAAGCAAAGCATGGTCAGGTCAAAGTGTCTGAATAATTTTTGGTCCCAATTTTTTTTTATCAATTTCACTGGTAGTCCATGAAGAATTTTGGGGTATAATATGTCACAGTTTACTTTATTTTGCTATACTCACTTACATAAATGAACTATAGTGTCCTGCACCCACTAGTAAAAAAAATATAATACAAAAATTATATCTGGTGTCTGAATAATTTTTGGTTTGACTGTGGATTAATCCTTGTTAAAACTACAAAGTAATTCAGTCAAGAGCAGTGAGTAATTTTCTTTCTTTCATTTTCTTGAATTAACATTAAAGGGGTCATATGATGAGATTTCCTTTCTCTTTGGAGTGTTACAAGCTGTTCGTAAATAGATAAGATCCCTAAAGTTGCAAAGACTAAAGTCTCAAACCCAAAGAGATATTCTATTTAAAAGTTAAGACTCGTCCACGCCCTCCTAAAACGTCTCGTTTAAACACGCCCCCACATGTCTACGTCATGATGTGGGAAGACTTGCATAACACCACCCAAATGTTCACGCAAAGAAAGAAAGCGTAACTTTGATTCTCGCTGTAGTATTGCTGTTGTGGAGACGCTGTGTTTCATTGTGAAAGTGAAAATATTTTGTTTGGTCTTCCAAAAGAGGACACAACTAGAAATCAGTGGTTAAGTTGTATTTACAACACTGTTCCAGAACAGTTCAACCCAAATATTCGTGTGTGTGCTACGCATTTTACGGAGGACTGTTTCCTGATTCTGGGAGAGTAGCCTACACACACATGCATGTATATATTTAAGAAAATAATGTTACATTTGTATATTAAATATATATAAATGTATATAAATTATATAAATATATACATGTGTCATGATCTCTAGCTGGAGTCCCCGTGAGCTTCGCTAGAGGACTCTTGGACTCTTTGCCTGTGTTCTCTGCCTTGATGTTTAGTCGGACTGATTGCCTGTGTGTTGACCCTTGCCTGCTGTCTGATTTCGATTCTGGACTTTCCTATTAAACACTGCATTTGGATCCTCACTCAGTCTCTCAGCAGTCCGTAACAGCATGTAAATATTTTCAAAATATATATTGTATGATTGTGTATTTATATATAACTAAAAAAGGCAATGCAAAAAGAAAAGAAAGTAAAAAGGAACACACCTCGTGGAATCTTTCCAATAAAGATCTGTAGTAAAACATTTGATCTGATGCAAGTAATATAAATAGTATTTACATTCAAGTATAATTAAACCTTAGACTCAGATTCCCGTTAGATGGGAATTTTACTGTACTGGATGAATAATTAGTGTATGAACATTTTGCTGAAACTTGTTTACCAAAATAGTTTGATGGTAAACACAAGTCCCTTGTTGGACAGACCGAAATCGCAAAATAAGGAACAGAAAATGCTGCCTTTTTCAAGCTGAATATTTTGTCTATTTTCAGACAGCTCTGAACAAGTGCTGGCTCGGGTATTTCTTTACCGTAATGGACTCGGGTACATTTTATTTTTTACCATAAATGAAGTGGCATCATGAACTCAGCATCTACCTGTATCAAAAGTCATGGGACCTAAACACTTCCAAAACTGTTCTGAAATGACAAGCAATTTGTCCAGATATAAATCCCATTGAATAATGAAGGAGGGATTTGAAATCTGTTTGAAACAATTGGAAGTAGGCAGTCTTCATAATCTAAAAAAAACAGCAGTTTGCAAAAGAAAATTAGGCTAAACTGCCATCATTGGTTCTTATATGAAGCACATAATTACAGATATACAGTCCAAATGCTCTGTTATTAAATACAATTTACAGTGCAACAAAATACTGCTTAGGCCATTTTAGGATTTTAATGTGTAAACCAAAGAAATAAGTATATAAATATGAAAAGATGTTTCCATTCAGTGTATAAAAAAAGTCATCATAGTTGTCATTTGGCCATGATTTTTAAATACCCTGATTTTGTTTGAAATAATCTAAACTTTGTCAATTATCGAAACCTTTGTCTCTAGATACCAAGAGATCTTTTGACTCACCTTTGACATTTACAGTAACCTTTTTGTCTACATGTTTATAAGCCTACATGAACCAGGAAAAGAAACATCCTTTCATGTGTATTTTAGAATGAAAAAAATACAAATGACAGAAACTCAAGCTTTCATCTGGTTTTGTTTAATTCAAAAGGAACATTTGTTTTTCAGGTGCAACTTATTCTTATAAATCTTGCCAATTATGTATTCTAATACATATTTTGTGAACAATAATACATTTTTATTTAAAGATATGGCAAAATGATAGCTTAAAAATGTATGGGCATTGTTATTGTGTATGTTATTGTACATGAATTACAGGTGAATTCTGTCATTCTTGACATTTTTCTGAAAACCATGTGGTGGACTCCCTTGACTTGCCAAAGCTATTTTTATAGCAATCATTTGATGTAGGCACAGCAATAGATTTACCTTGATTATTCATCATATGTATCAAATGTCTTATATCATGCTTGTCATTGTCACTCTTGTCAACTTGGAAAACAAGTACAGTCACTTGAAAAACTCTGGCACAAATATAAATAAAATATAATAAAATAATAAAAACTGAAATGTTAAATATTCATATTTTATGATGGGTTTTCATAGTTAAACACTTTTTAATGTTTTTATACATTAAAAACATCTGAAAGGTAGCCAAGACAGCTTTAATGTGACCTTCATATAACAAACCTATATATTT